TCTTTCTCTTTCTCTCTCTCTCTCTCTCTCTCTCTCTCTCTCTCTCTCTCTCACACACACACACACACACACATACACACACAGATACATTAATGCTGTCAGAATTTTTCTGTATCTTCTCATGTAACATTAGGAACCAAACTTTATATATATGCATGCAAGGAGAATTTGAGTAAATATCTATCGATACACCATTTTTTGCTTCTGCCTAGGAGGTTTCCAGTGCAAACATGGACCACAACTTGCTAAGCATCTTTGAATTCTCCGTATCAGTTCATCATCTTTAGTCAATTTCGCTCAGCACAGATGCAGGTAAAATGCAGCCAAGAACAAAGCCCACATATTATTTATTAAATTGTATGTGGCTCACTTTGATAACCATAAAACTAAGTGTCAAAATGTGATGGGGCAGATATGTGGGGATATACATACATGGATTCTCTGGATAAAGTTCTTCAGCAGCATTGGTTACTTGTGGGGAGGGAAGTTAGGTAGCTGTTGGGTAGGGGTAGGAAGCTTCTCTATTTGTACCACTTTTGAATTCTAAACAAGGTGAATATATAATTTATTTCAAAGAGAAAATTTAAATTATTTTTAAAACTCAAACATACCTGTCCTTTGGTATCCATGGAGAATTGGAGCGAGGACCCTGGCACATATCAAAAGCCATGGATGCTCAAGTTTCTTGTGCAAAGTGGTCTAGTATTTGCATACAACCTATGCCTTTGACTTTAAATCATCTCTGTTACTTTATTTTCCCCAGCAACAACAGCAGGCAGCATGGAGCAAAGCAGAGAGCCAGAGTAAGAGCCGCCTGCATCTTTATTGTATAATTCTTACACAGGTTGTTAACTCATATTTACATTCTTACATGGTGCTGTAACCAGCATATGTGTGTTTAGCTGTGCTAAGTCATGGTTACATAACTGTATCCCACTGTGCACCTGCACTAGACAAGTAGGGCCATGTCCGCAGGTGTCCTTAGATGCCCCTGAGTTTTGAAGCAGTCTGAGTGTTTCCTCATACCCCACGACCTCAAAGGTCTGAGGTGTATAGAGGAAACATTTCTGTGTTACTTATAACACTTAATGCAATGTAAATAACTGTTATGTTGTATTGTTTAGGGAATAATGACAGGAAAAATGTTTGTACATGTTCAGTACAGAAAAAGCCACCATAGACCTAACTATAGAGCACAGTACCCCAAGGTTAAATCCGAGGATACTGCTATGGTAAACGACCCCCAAAAGTCTCATGTGCATGGAGGGTGAAGGATAAGGAGAGCACCACACTCATAGGTGGATTCATCATGGTAAGTTCATAGCTGAATGTGCCATTAGGAAGTGGGGCCTGATTGGAGGTGGGTCCCTGGAGATCACTTTAAAAGGGTGTATTCTTATCTCTACTTTGCCATCTCTACTCCTCTGCAATGCCCCTCTGCATCAACTTCCTGCCTTGAAGCAGCCAACCATAGAGTGAAACCATGAGCCCAAACAAGCTTCCCCTTCAGATTTGGATGTCAGGTGTTTTCATCCCAGTGGTGGGAAAGTGGCTAAGACAGAGACAAAAATCCATAGGTATGGAGAGCTTGCTATAGTCCTATACACAGTAACATGAAGCAGATGGCAGGTGTTTTATCTTTTTTTTTTTTTTTTTTGTACTGGAAATCAAACTCAGGACCTTGCGCTTGCCAGGCAGGCACTTATGCCACTGAGCTATATCCCTGGGCCATGGTATTTTATCTTGAATGTGGAAGAAGTGCTGAGAATCGATTTTGTCCACCATATTGGCATGACTGCAATTTTGGGATCCCAGAGTCTTTCTGTTGCTGCTTTGTCACATTGTTTTGTTTTACAGTAAATCTGGTTTATTTTGTAGTGTGCTTTTTTTATGTAGCACATATTTCAGAAAGGCTGTCATTATGTGGATGAGAATATCTGATTTCTAGTCTTGGCTTCAACAGTTATTATTTTCAGACAGGGATTGCAATATCTCTTACAAGTCTAATCTATATATAGAGATGTATAGTCTATGTCCATGTATCTTTTCTAGGTCTAAAAAACACCTTTAAGACATTCTCATTCAAAAATTTCTATGATTCTAACCATATATTATGAATGTTTCCTGAAAATATGAAAAAGAGAGAAGGAAGGAAGGACGAGAAAGAGTAGAAGGAGGAGAGAAAAAAAAGAGGAGAGAAGCAGGAGGAGAAGGAAGAGGAGGAGGAGAAGGAGGAGGAGGAGGAGGAGGAACAGAAAAAGAAGGAAGAGGAAAAGGAAAAGAAGGAAGAGGAGTAGTAAGAGGAGGAGGAGCAGGAGGAGGAGGAGCAGGAGGAAGAGAAGCAGGAGGAGAAGAAATAGGAAGAGGAGGAGCAGGAGGAGGAGGAGCAGGAGGAGGAACAGGAGAAACAGAAGAGGAGCAAGAGGAGGAGGAGCAGGAGGAGAAGGCAAACATGAAAGCAGAGGCTGTAAATATTTGAAGTTTACGATGTTGGCATTTGTCTTTTTTCTCCAAATGGGAGTTGATTGCTTAAATTTTATGTCTTTAAGACAGAGCAACAAAAGTATCTTCTGACAGACATCTGAGATAGTAACTCACAGGAAGACATCTGTCTGATTTAGCTATGATCATCAGTGTGTACATATATGGCATATAGTGATACAGGGAATCATTATGTATCTTTCTATGTACATTAATAATTGTTCCTTAAATTTCCCCTAGTTGTTCCTTATATCAGAAACTTCCAGTGCCAATCACAACTTTTTATTACAATGGTAACGATTTTTAACTGTATATTTCAGTAGCATTAAGTGCCTTAACACTGTTGTACAGTGAAAACCCCAGTCTTTTCAACCCAGACAGCAGCTTTAGACAGCTGAGTTTATATTGAGGAGCAGCTCTCGTCCCTGGCACTGCATTTGGATCATGTTGAGAATTTCTGAATGTACTAATGCCAGGAATCTATCCTTAGGTCGAGGAAATCGGAATCTCTGGGGCGTGTCAGTGCAGCCAGAACTCAGAACTGCTGTCTAGAGTAGCTTGAGTCTACTTTGTTCAGAACAGCAGTGACCTGAGAGGGGTGGGAAGGGCAGGAGACAAGACCACAGTGTCAAACAGCTGCCCACTGGGTCTCATTCAAGGGCAAGGAGCGCCAGCCCTGATGCAGGTACACTGGTGGTCTTCTCCTTATGTGTGTCCATCTTCTAAAGACCCTTCTTTCCTGCACACACCTTGTTACTGAGGAGCTCCCACCCTGCTTTGAGAGACAGACAGATGAAACCAGAAAGACAGAGAACAAAGGAACACAGTGCAGAGAGACAGAAAATATCATAAAGAGATGAGAGAGAGGAAATGCAAAAAAATGGAAAAGTAGCAACTGACAGAAAGAGAGTAGCTGAAACTGGAGCAAAGGGGAAAAAACAGAGCCTGGAGGGATGTAAAGCTCACATTTTAAGATGGATGCACATGAACCGGTGGTAGTGGCATGAAATCACTTACAAAGCCACAGCCGTCCTCATCCAGGAAGGGGTAGGCCTGCAGCAAGGCGTTGACCACATCATTGTACTGCTGGGTGGTGGGATACCTGTTCACCACAACAAGGAAGATGTATTTCATTTCGCACAGCACAGATTCGAGATGAGTCTAAAGTGCACTCAGTTTTTCCCAAATCTTTCTGTGTAACAAAGTAGACACTGAAATGTTGGGCACATTGGATTTCTACCCAGCTTGCCATCCAACATCTGAAGGGACTTGGGTCCAAAAGAATTCTACTCTTCTTTGCTAAAAGACCCTACCCTGAAGCAGTAGCTCTGCCCTGTTAGTACTCACAGCGAGCCTTCTAGATACTTGGTCATGTCAGCCTGGAGAAACTCAATGATCCTTATCCTCATGCTGTGATCGGGACACTTCTGCTCTGCGAGCATGCATTTGACATCATAGGGAAACTGTGGTAACACGTAGGACTGGGTCCACTGCAGTGCTTTATTCCTTGCTGGAATGTGCTTCATGTTTCTCCTGTGAAATAAACACAGAGAGTGAAGTTCTATTTCAAATATGAATGCAATTTATTAGTTCTCTACACCCTGAAACCCAAGATATAAGCCCCTTTCCTGAGGCTTAAATATATGACATCATTTCTCCATCTTCCACAATTCATCTATCCACAAATACTTCAAGTCTTACTAGGCATCTCTGTTTTCTTTCCCTTTGCACAAACATAAGTACTTGCAGTTCCAGAGAAGTGTCATAATAATATAGAGTCTAGAATAAAGTCTAAAGTTGGAAAGAATAGTAACCCACATATCTTGAAGAGATAACATATAATGTATAGCTCAAAACTGAGCCAGATATCTAACAGAAAAAAATAAGTTGCAATTCAACAAAGCAAATGAAGCCTATAATGAATTTGTCTTAGGATCCAATTAAGAAATTTTTTATTATGCTGTTTATAGTGGGATACAAAATCCACCTAGTTTAGGCAGGTTTTATTATTTTACTATGGTAAATTATTTTCTAAATTAAAAACAAGTATCTAGTATTCCAACTCCATTGACATGAAGTTTCTATAAAAGGTGACAGAAAACCGTAACTGCAGAAAGCAGATTAGCAATTGCTGAAGGCTGAGAGTAGCCAAAATGGATTGCGTCAACAGCTGCACATCCTTATAATTTATTACAACTAAATAAGCTGTCTACTTTCAGTGGGTGAATTTCATGTTAGGTAAATCAATATTAATAAGGCTATTTATAAAATTAAGCACCAGAACCACTTTAAAACCTTAAAGTTTGGGTGCATAAAGAATTAATTTATTATTGTGTGCATAAAGAATCTAAAGTAAAATTTACAAGTGAAAATTAATCAAAGGTACCACAGAGCTGTCAACCTGTTCCCTAATAGGACAGATCAGGATGGAAGTGAAGGGACTGTGGCAAGCCATGTAGACGACAACAGAGAAATTTCCTAAACTGTAGCTAGTAAGTCAGTTGTCTGACAATGCTGGAGTTCTTAGTGGTGCAGATAAAATTTAGCTGAGCTTCAAAAGGCCAAGCTTCTTTTTTGGGTCACCTACCGTAAGGATGGAGGCACTGTAATGGGCTATGAGGAGTAAGGCAAGTGGGAGGAAGCACTTTCGCACTTCGGGTGATAAACTCCCTTGCCTTTTTCTCCCTTTGGTTTTTCTCCGGTACCAGGAACCGAACTCACGACCTTGCGCTTGCCAGATAGGCGCTTTTGCCGCTGAGCTAAATCCCCAGCCCCGCCTTTTTCTCCCTTTGGCAGCCATGATATCAGTGGTGGAAAAAAATGTCCCAGCTAAAGCAAGTACATTGATAATTTAATGGTGGATTCAATACAGCAGCAGACAGTTCTCAGACACAAATCTCTGTTTAGCCCAAACAATTTTCTGAGTGTGTTTTTCTCTCATTTTATCCATTCAACCAATGTACATTGGGAATCTGCTGCATTCCAGCTAGTGTTATAAAATCCCCATTTCCTTCTAAATCCATTATTTTGTTCCTTTTACCCATGGCCAAATTATCTCTCCCCTACCTACTTAGACCAAGGGTTACAAAGTAAAAACAAATTTGTTGGTGGTGTGTTTTGTCTTCGCCAAGGGTTTTCAAAAGCAAAGGCATTAAGGCAGATATTAAAAATGGTTTCTGTACCTTTTAGCATCCACCTCCTTTTCAAAACCTAGTGAATCTCGAGGAGCTAAGTTAGCTGCATGGTCCCTTGGAGGTTGCTTTTCCTTCCTTCACACCACATCTATAGATAACTTCAAGATTCTGATGCTGTCAAACAGGTCGTGGTACTGTTTTTGGCTTCTGTACTTTTCTTCTTTTTATCAGCATATGTTTGCAGTACACAATGACAGAACACACCTTCATTTTTTTCCCATCCTCTTCCATCCCCTTCCCTCCCCTCTCTCTCCCTTTCATGTCTTGATTCTCTTCCCATCTGAGATCTATCTCCATACTTCCTATTGTCTATCTTTTATTTTGCTCCTTATTTATAGTTTGGGTTTCTCATACAAGAGAAACCGTGCCTTAGGATAGGGACCCTAATGTGTGAGATTATTTGTATCCCACACCCAGAATGTAGTGAGACACACAGAGGATTTATTGAAGGTAGATACACCATGGAGCTCCAGATAAAGTTATTAGGTATCGAATTTTCCTTTTCTTTAGATTAAACATTATGAAAAGTACTCTGGAATTGACTACAACCCCAACTCTGCCAACTAATACAAGTCAAAATGAGTATTACACAAGGAAGGTGACTCATGAGAAATTAAAAACATTCTAATTTGGAAGGGGGTAACTCCAGACATAACTATGTCTCATCTGTAGAATTATGTTAATATTGGATTAAAAAATTTTTTGTGATTTCAGAAATGTTCATGATATCTTCAGTAATATCTCTAGAGTTGAACAGAGCACTGGCAGAAGTCACCTGAAGAATGCAGAGTCAGAAAGCATCCCCAAATTTAGAACATTAATAATTTTACTCTTACCTCAGACCTGGGGTTCTTTGACAAAAATCACAATCACAGAAAAACAAATCTGTAAACCAATGGGTTACTTTGGAAATCTACCCGTCTTTACTCCCAGGACTGGGGCCTATGGAGGCAGCTGATCTGCCTGTCTTTGGGTTCTTCCTGTAGGGACCATTTGCAGCTCAAATGTTGAAGAATCCAGAGTTTCTAGCGACCATTCCTCCATCTGTTAATGAATGTCAGATACCATCTCAGGTACTGAAAGAGCACTGTGAGCAATGTGGAAGTATAACTTCATATTTCAAAGTCTCACAAAAATCCCAGTGTGGGAGAGCTGCAACTTCAACACCTGACCATATGAGAATCTCTCTCCCTTTTGTACTTCATCATGTGTGAAGTGGACAAGCATCTTCCAACTGTCAAATGCATGTTTATCTTCCGGTTTCCTGACAGAGTACCTGGTACAGAGAGTGACACCGGTTCCTTCTATAGCCAACAGTCCAACACCATGCAGTGAACAGGGCGGGCACAACCGGCCTCAGAACCACTTTTCTGCATACATCTCTTGACCAACAGCATCTTCTGTACCCAGCTCTCCTGAGAGTCGAGTTTCTGCTTCTCATTTATGAGGGTGACTTTGAGCCAAGTCTGTCCTTTATTTCTTATCCTTTTAAGTTCCTGGGGCTTCCCAGGGAGAGAAAATTACCCTGATTTGTTTATGTATTTGAATATTAAAGTTCACATTTGCAAGGAAAAACTTGAATCTGTTCTTCGCGTGTAAGCCCCATTTGGAGTTATTGAGTATTTGTAGCTATTTTATCCCCATGAAATTTTTTCTATTACTTTGAAGAAAAAAGTAAAGCTTTTAAACCTCCAAAACCTAAAGCTCCCATTTTTTTTTAATGAATTAGAAGAATTTCAAGTGATGAAAACTTTTTTCCT